GTTAAAAACAGGGATTTCTATGAAAATAAGCGATATTTAAGGTTTAAAAACTGGGATTTTAATGAAAATATGCCACATTTTAGGGGAAAAACAGGGATTTCTTTGAAAATAAGCGATATTTAATGGGAAAAACAGGGATTTCTGTGAAAATAAGCGATATTTTATGGGAAAAACAGGGATTTCTGTGAAAATAACTGATACTTAAGGGGAAAAACAGGGATTTCTATGAAAATAAGCGATATTTTAGGGGAAAAACAGGGATTTCTGTGAAAATAAGCGATATTTTAGGGGAAAAACAGGGATTTCTGTGAAAATGAGCGATAGTTAAGGGGAAAAACAGGGATTTCTGTGAAAATAAGCAATATTTTAGGGGAAAAATAGGGATTTCTGTGAAAATAAGCGATATTTAATGGGAAAAACAGGGATTTCTATGAAAATAAGCGACATTTTAGGGGAAAAACAGGGATTTCTGTGAAAATAAGCGATATTTTGGGGGAAAAACAGGGATTTCTATGAAAATAAGCGATATTTAAGGGTTAAAAACAGGGATTTCTATGAAAATAAGCGATATTTAAGGAAAAAAACAGGGATTTCTGTGAAAATGAGCGATATTTAAGGGGAAAAACAGGGATTTCTGTGAAAATAAGCGACATTTTAGGGGAAAAACAGGGATTTCTGTGAAAATAAGCGATATTTAATGGGAAAAACAGGGATTTCTATGAAAATAACTGATACTTAAGGGGAAAAACAGGGATTTCTATGAAAATAAGCGATATTTTAGGGGAAAAACAGGGATTTCTGTGAAAATAAGCGATATTTTAGGGGAAGAACGGGGATTTCTAAGAAAATGAGCGATATTTTAGGGGAAAAACAGGGATTTCTTTGAAAATAAGCAATATTTTAGGGGAAAAACAGGGATTTCTGTGAAAATAAGCGATATTTTAGGGGAAAAACAGGGATTTCTGTGAAAATAAGCGATATTTTAGGGGAAAAACAGGGATTTCTGTGAAAATAAGCGATATTTCAGGGGAAAAACAGGGATTTCTGTGAAAATAAGCAATATTTTAGTGGAAAAACAGGGATTTGTATGAAAATAAGCGACATTTAAGGTTAAAAACAGGGATTTCTATGAAAATAAGCGATATTTTAGGGGAAAAACAGGGATTTCTGTGAAAATAAGCAATATTTTAGGGGAAGAACACGGATTTCTATAAAATGAGCGATATTTGAGGGGAAAAACAGGGATTTCTAGGAAAATAATCGATATTTTTTGGGAAAAACAGGGATTTCTATGAAAATAAGCGATATTTAAGGTGAAAAACAGGGATTTCTATGAAAATAAGCGATATTTAAAGGGAAAAACAGGGATTTCTGTGAAAATAAGAGACATTTTAGGGGAAAAACAGGGATTTCTAGAAAAATAAGCGATATTTTAGGGGAAAAACAGGGATTTCAATGAAAATAAGCGATATTTTAAGGGAAAAACAGGGATTTCTGTGAAAATAAGCGACATTTAAGGTTAAAAACAGGGATTTCTGTGAAAATAAGCGATATTTAAATGGAAAAACAGGGATTTCTATGAAAATAAGCGAAATTTTAGGGGAAAAACAGGGATTTCTGTGAAAATAAGCGATATTTTGGGGGAAAAACAGGGATTTCTATGAAAATAAGCGATATTTAAGGGTTTAAAACAGGAATTTCTATGAAAATAAGCGATATTTAAGGAAAAAAACAGGGATTTCTGTGAAAATGAGCGATATTTAAGGGGAAAAACAGGGATTTCTGTGAAAATAAGCGACATTTTAGGGGAAAAACAGGGATTTCTGTGAAAATAACTGATACTTAAGGGGAAAAACAGGGATTTCTATGAAAATAAGCGATATTTTAGGGGAAAAACAGGGATTTCTGTGAAAATAAGCGATATTTTAGGGGAAGAACGGGGATTTCTGTGAAAATGAGCGATATTATAGGGGAAAAACGGGGATTTCTTTGAAAATAAGCAATATTTTAGGGGAAAAAAAGGGATTTCTGTGAAAATAAGCGATATTTTAGTGGAAAAACAGGGATTTCTGTGAAAATAAGCGATAGTTTAGGGGAAAAACAGGGATTTCTGTGAAAATAAGCGATATTTCAGGGGAAAAACAGGGATTTCTGTGAAAATAAGCAATATTTTAGGGGAAAAAAAAGGGATTTCTATGAAAATAAGCAACATTTTAGAGGAAAAACAGGGATTTCTGTGAAAATAAGCGATATTTTAGTGGAAAAACAGGGATTTGTATGAAAATAAGCGACATTTAAGGTTAAAAACAGGGATTTCTATGAAAATAAGCGATATTTTAGGGGAAAAACTGGGATTTCTGTGAAAATAAGCAATATTTTAGGGGAAGAACAGGGATTTCTATAAAATGAGCGATATTTGAGGGGAAAAACAGGGATTTCTAGGAAAATAATCGATATTTTTTGGGAAAAACAGGGATTTCTATGAAAATAAGCGATATTTAAGGTGAAAAACAGGGATTTCTATGAAAATAAGCGATATTTAAAGGGAAAAACAGGGATTTCTGTGAAAATAAGCGATATTTTAGGGGAAAAACAGGGATTTCTAGAAAAATAACAGATATTTTAGGGGAAAAACAGGGATTTCTATGAAAATAAGCGATATTTTAAGGGAAAAACAGGGATTTCTGTGAAAATAAGCGACATTTAAGGAAAAACAGGGATTTCTATGAAAATAAGCGATATTTAAATGGAAAAACAGGGATTTCTATGAAAATAAGCGAAATTTTAGGGGAAAAACAGGGATTTCTGTGAAAATAAGCGATATTTTGGGGGAAAAACAGGGATTTCTATGAAAATAAGCGATATTTAAGGGTTAAAAAAGGGATTTCTGTGAAAATAAGCGATATTTAAGGAAAAAAACAGGGATTTCTGTGAAAATGAGCGATATTTAAGGGGAAAAACAGGGATTTCTGTGAAAATAAGCGATATTTTAGGGGAAAAACAGGGATTTCTGTGAAAATAACTGATACTTAAGGGGAAAAACAGGGATTTCTATGAAAATAAGCGATATTTTAGGGGAAAAACAGGGATTTCTGTGAAAATAAGCGATATTTTAGGGGAAGAGCGGGGATTTCTGTGAAAATGAACGATATTATAGGGGAAAAACAGGGATTTCTTTGAAAATAAGCAATATTTTAGGGGAAAAAAAGGGATTTCTGTGAAAATAAGCGATATTTTAGGGGAAAAACAGGGATTTCTGTGAAAATAAGCGATATTTTAGGCGAAAAACAGGGATTTCTGTGAAAATAAGCGATATTTTAGAGGAAAAACAGGGATTTCTGAGAAAATAAGCGATATTTTAGTGGAAAAACAGGGATTTGTATGAAAATAAGCGACATTTAAGGTTAAAAACAGGGATTTCTATGAAAATAAGCGATATTTTAGGGGAAAAACTGGGATTTCTGTGAAAATAAGCAATATTTTAGGGGAAGAACAGGGATTTCTATAAAATGAGCGATATTTGAGGGGAAAAACAGGGATTTCTAGGAAAATAATCGATATTTTTTGGGAAAAACAGGGATTTCTATGAAAATAAGCGATATTTAAGGTGAAAAACAGGGATTTCTATGAAAATAAGCGATATTTCAGGGGAAAAAAAGGGATTTCTGTGAAAATAAGCGATATTTTAGGGGAAAAACAGGGATTTCTATGAAAATAAGCGATATTTAAGGGTTAAAAACAGGGATTTCTATGAAAATAAGCGATATTTTAAGGGAAAAACAGGGATTTCTGTGAAAATAAGCGACATTTAAGGTTAAAAACAGGGATTTCTATGAAAATAAGCGATATTTAAATGGAAAAACAGGGATTTCTATGAAAATAAGCGAAATTTTAGGGGAAAAACAGGGATTTCTATGAAAATAAGCAATATTTAAGGGGAAAAACAGGGATTTCTATGAAAATAAGCGATATTTAAGGGGAAAAACAGGGATTTCTGTGAAAATAAGCGATATTTAAGGGTGAAAAACATGGATTTTTATGAAAAAATGCCACATTTTAGTGGAAAAACAGGGATTTCTGTGAAAATAAGCGATATTTAATGGGAAAACCAGGGATTTCTGTGAAAATAAGCGATATTTCAGGGGAAAAAAAGGGATTTCTGTGAAAATAAGCAATATTTTAGGGGAAAAACAGGGATTTCTATGAAAATAAGCGATATTTAAGGGTTAAAAACAGGGATTTCTATGAAAATAAGCGATATTTTAGGGGAAAAACAGGGATTTCTGTGAAAATGAGCGATATTTAAGGGGAAAAACAGGGATTTCTGTGAAAATAAGCGATATTGAAGGGGAAAAACAGGGATTTCTGTGAAAATAAGCGATATTTAAGGGGAAAAACAGGGATTTCTATGAAAATAAGCGATATTTTAGGGGAAAAACAGGGATTTCTGTGAAAATAAGCGATATTTTAGGGGAAAAACGGGGATTTCTGTGAAAATAAGCGATATTTTAGGGGAAAAACAGGGATTTCTTTGAAAATAAGCAATATTTTAGTGGAAAAACAGGGATTTGTATGAAAATAAGCGACATTTAAGGTTAAAAACAGGGATTTCTACGAAAATAAGCGATATTTTAGGGGAAAAACAGGGATTTCTAGAAAAATAATGGATATTTTAGGGGAAAAACGGGGATTTCTATGAAAATAAGCGATATTTAAAGGGAAAAACAGGGATTTCTGTGAAAATAAGGGATATTTTAGGGGAAAAACAGGGATTTCTGTGAAAATAAGCGATATTTAAGGTTTAAAAACAGGGATTTCTGAGAAAATAAGTGAAATTTTAGGGGAAAAACAGGGATTTCTGTGAAAATAAGCGACATTTAATGTTAAAAACAGGGATTTCCATGAAAATAAGCGATATTTTAGGGGAAAATCAGGGATTTCTATGAAAATAAGCGATATTTAAGGGTGAAAAACAGGGATTTTTATGAAAATATGCCACATTTTAGGGGAAAAACAGGGATTTCTATGAAAATAAGCGATATTTAATGGGAAAACCAGGGATTTCTATGAAAATAAGCGATATTTTAGGGGAAAAACAGGGATTTCTGTGAAAATAAGCAATATTTCAGGGGAAAAAAAGGGATTTCTGTGAAAATAAGCAATATTTTAGGGGAAAAACAGGGATTTCTGCGAAAATGAGCGATATTTAAGGAGAAAAACAGGGATTTCTGTGAAAATAAGCAATATTTCAGGGGAAAAAAAGGGATTTCTGTGAAAATAAGCGATATTTTAGGGGAAAAACAGGGATTTCTGCGAAAATGAGCGATATTTTTTGAGTAAAACAGGGATT